TGTACTTATCAATTTTAGTTCGATTGTGTTGCTGTAAGCTTCTTAAAATACTCAAATCCGTTCCAGTTATCAATGAGTCCTATGTTTCTTGCTCACGGAAACAATAGCTTGCCCCTAACTTGGTTTGAACCCACGCGGCCAGAAATCCTTAGATAACTAGTCCGACGTGTTAATCACTCGGCCCCGCCTCTCAATAATCAATAATTTAATTAAACAACTAAAATTCAACCTCTGCAAAGCATCAACCTTTGGGTTCTAGAAAGGTTTGACTTCTCTCGTTCTGGAAAGGTTTGACTTCTTCAGAAGCCTTGATTTTTGGGAATAATTCTTGCTGTTTACAAGTATGTTGTTGAACAGGTATTTGCTCTACAATGATTCCTTCTGCAGGAATTACCTTATACTACTGCCATAATTAACTTTGAGATCTTTTATTTGGATAAAGTATTATATTATGTCGAAATGAATTATTACATAATGGCACTAATGGCACCCTAAAACAACAACATTGTGGGGTATTACATACTCAGTCGGATTTAACTTCGTCATGAAACAGCATGCAAAATTCGGCATCCTTTACGCAACCTAGGATCGCCTTTATCAGGGTTAAGTCTTCAATACTCACGCCAGCTAGGACAGCTTCTACAGTATTTAGTCTTCAACCCTTTAAAGATATACTATGCTCAAATTTGATTTTTAAAATTGTTAATTATTGCTACACAGTCTATTTGTATTTATAAAATAAACATGTTTCGTCTTCATTTAAAGTAGATATGTTATGTTTTGAACTCTTAACACTATAGGTAGTCACAATATGAATATTGTTACGTTCCCGGACCGGGGAGAGCCTGCTAGTCCCCGGGTAACAATTTATACTTCTCAGGATGTAGGCCTATATAGCGGGTAGATCACTATAGCTTCACTTCTATAGGTATTCAATATTCAATAGTCAGGGTATGTTGTATCAGGAGAAAGCCAGTAGTTAGTTTAACATCTCATTTATTCATCATCAACATCATTCATTCATGTATACACAGTCAACAGTAATATAAATAATACATGTAGTCAAAATGGGTACATATCCGGAAACCACTCCAGTTGGGTTTGTTTACCTTAGTTACATAGATAAATATTCTGTACAAGTTTATCAATACTTGTAATAATACGTTTATTATAGTTATTTTAATAAGTGAAATATATTTATTAAATGATTCTGGGTACTACCTCTCCAGATGGATATTTTCTATAAGACATTGTGTATAGAGGTTGCGTCTGTAAAGCGGACAATACAATTGACCAAGTTCAAGGGAAAATCTGGGGTATTTATAGGAAAAGGTCACATGACCCTTGAAACAGTAACGTGACTTCATATAATGACGTCACTGAGTATCCAGATGGGTCATGTGATCTATTTGATGACGTCACATTGTCTCCATCTTAACTCGATTAAATACAGAACATATTCTACGTCTCCATCTGGAATTCTAATCAGTACCAACTAATAATGGATTAAACACAAGGCATGGCACATGTTTGATGAGTTATGTAGCATTAAATAAGTGATTACAAATTTGCAAACTGGCGTAAACATTAAGTATTATACATATGTTAATAAATCAGAATAAAGTTGATAACTGTCAACAAATATTAACGTGGTTTCCGGGGTTATAAAAAGTGTCATGATGTTCGGACGAAATGAACTTCGTAACATTACCCCCATCCCGCAAAGGATTCAGACCCTGAATCGAAAGATATAAGGTAAGTATAAGTTATTAATTATATACAGAAAGTAATGGGAATTTATCATGTGTGAAGTTCACTTCGTACGAAATTTAATTAACGTTTTCAAATTACTTTTCTCATATAAGCTTTTCACATTTATACATCATGGTATAACAATAATAAACAATTCAACAATAACAAATAAAACATGTGTATGATAGGGAACATAGACTGTAAGTCTGATTGTCCTTGATATTTATCCTAAGTTAAATAATACACACATAAACATTAGTTTCAATACAAATTGTAATTGCATACATAGTATGAATTTATGCTTTAGGTACATAGTTATCTAGGTAAAGAAATTTTTTACATACATAGTATGAAAGTTATATTTTATTTACCCTGTATAGCATAGCCACACATGTAAATATTTTATCAATAAACAATTAAATTATACAACATACTGACATAACTGAATTTGGGTGAGATTAATTTTCATGTATTAATCTTAAACACATGTTTTAATTTCAGTAATTACATTGGTTTGTAGAGCATCCTTAATGAATCAGTACTTTTGGTAAGTACCTGCATACTATCTTAATCATTAAGTAATTAAATATCAAATTTTCTAATTACTGAATTATTCTAACACAATGAATTCAAAGTTTATCAGACTGTAATCATTCATCATAAACAATGCATAGAACAATTTATATAAAATAATACATGCTAAACATTTACTCATTTATACACACTGTTACACATGTAAAAGTTAACTAAAGATAATCATTTACTCTTAATAATCACTTATTCACACAAAGATTTTCATTTTTATTTTGTAGGATGTTTGGTAGAACATTTGAGACAGGGATTGTTTTTGTTGAAGATACTCTCTGGCCACAAGAGTTCCTCTAGGCATAGGTATACATGGTAGAATATTCAACAATGATTTCACATAAAATTATGGTTTAAGCATGCTAAACTTATGAATACGGAGCAATATATAATGTAGTTATACTACATTTAAAAGGCTACTGAGGACCGCTACCTCTCAGCACTTGAAGGTGGAGTCGAACCACTAGGAGTCTTTCTCCTCCATCAGTATTCCACATTAATGTAGATATCCGATGGCTGGGTACCGCCACAGAACTATACAAGTCATGCCATAATAATACATTCATTAACAATCTTCTATATTATTAATACTCATTCGTTAACTATACTTAAGACTCATAAACTATCTTTATACTGTCATAATATAAATGAATCTATGTCAATAATTAATAATCTTGTACATGGCTCTTTAAAAGTAAGAGTACATCCTTCTCAAGGTAATAGACACATATATAAAATGAGCCGTTTTACATTTATTCATAACTATCATTGGACTAGATTAGCTGAGAGGAGTGAATATGCCAAATTTGAAATATTTTTAATTTCAAACGGCTGCACTTATCTCTCAGAGAATACTTTGAATGAAAGTTATGCTAACAGTCTAGAGTATATCTCAAAACATTCATTATCCAACACAGCTTAACTATTTGTAAGTTAGCTAAAATATATAATATTTAAGGTGCACCAATATAATAAGCGGTGGCTCAACGTATTATTAAAATTTGAGAAAATCTCTCGTACAATAAAATATATTAATTTAATATACCTAGCCTATTTTTAAGTAAACAATTCTTTGTATTAATTTACATAATAATTTAAGTTTGAATAGAAAAAAAATGTCTTTGTCTTAGTGTAATATACATGTACAAGTATATTGTTAATGTTATGTTAATTTTAGTTACAGAAAGGTCAAATGTTTGGACTGGTTCTCTTCCCTCCCCAGAAATAACAGGTTAACATAGAGTGAATTGGTAAGTATTACTTAGTAATAAAGAGTGAAATTTGGATTTGACTTTTCTTTACATATATTTTTGTTTACAATTTTTTTGTTTACTGCTTCTTATTTAATATCTTCTTCAAGTCCTTGATGAGTTCTTTGATGTTGTAGAATTGAGCGTCTAATAGGATCTCTTGTATTGTTGTTGGGTTTGATGGGAACAGTGTTGTAGGTATATGGCATTCATTTCGTAAGTAATTTAGTATAAAACGGAAGTGGCATGGATCTCTGTCTATAAAGATACAGTTCTTCTGAATATTGTAGGGGTGTAACAATACAGCAAAAACCGTATTGCAATATATTGCCATTTTGCTGAAGCGTATTGCAATATATTGCAATACGTATTGTCGTGTATGTTTTGATGTAAAGATGGAGTAACATTTATATATTATTATTAGGCCATCCTTAAAAAAATGTTCGTTTGCAGTAACGCGACCGACTCACAAAATTTGCCCCTACTCAAAAAATTTTTTCATGGTCTGGATAAATTTTTTTTTTTGAATCAGAAAATTATGCCTTGAACTTTGTTTTCGTTCTTTTAAAGGTTAATGGAAGAAATTAAATGTAGGTCTTATTAAATTAGTATTCAGTTATCAATTTATTAATTGTTACCAGATTATCAAGGCATATATTGTCCAGCATTTTGACATTCAATGTTTATTTGGGAGTACAGTTCAAAAAAAAAAAAAAAAAAAAAAAAAAAAAAAAATCTACCTACCTACCCACCTTGAAAATTCTGGGTCGGGTTACTGCAAACAAACATTTTTTTAAGGATGGCCTTATATGTAAATATTTTTAGTAGAAACTTAATAAAAATGTAAGGAATAAATAGAAAGTAGTGTCACACAATTTGATAAACAAAACTAGTCGCGTGTGAGCTTCACATCTGGGCCGCTTATGTAAAGTTTGCGGCCGCTTATTGACTTTTAAGTGTACTAATTGTCGGATACTTTTATCTTACGTTGGCGCCAACAAAAATTTGCCAATTAAAGATTTTATGTGAAATTTGTACAAAATTTATGGTGCATATTTCTGCCACCAGATAACCTGATAACTTACTAGTTAATTAAGAGGTTAACTAGTTACGTAACTAGTTAACCTAATACCTAACTAGTTAATTAAGAGGTTAACTAGTTACGTAACTAGTTAACCTGATAATTTACTAGTTAATTAAGAGGTTAACTATAGTTACTTAACTAGTTAACCTGATAATTAACTTTTTAGTTATATGGTTATCTGGTGGCAAAAATATGCCACCATAAAAATTAGAAGGCAATTAATTGAAAATTATGATTTTTTATAAAATACCGGTTTTCCAAAAATCGTACCGCGGTTCGAAATTTATTTTTTCATATTGCAATATATCGGTATACCGGTAAACCGTTACACCCTTAGAATATTGACGGGCGAATTTTCTTGAGTCATCTGATGGAGTATTGAGTACGGACTATTTAACAATGTTATTTTTGATGTGTAAAAGATTGTCCGGCCTATGTTTAATTGAATGAATTCTTCTTGTTGTCTTTGAATCAGTTGAAGTTTTTCATAGTTGCTTTCCATTTGGAATGGGTCGTCTCTGTCTTCTTCTTCAGATTCGCAATCACTGGGTATTGGTGTTGTTTGGTAGTCTGATATTACTATTCTTGTATCGCTTGTTTTAAATTGGTTGTCTATAACTTCTTTCAATATGTCACCTTCAAAATTTGTATTTGTAATTTGTTCTTTTTGTGGTTTAGATTTTCTTATTATACTGAAGTTATCTTTTTGTTTATTTCTCTGGTGTACATTTTCGTTGTTTTCTTTGTTATTTTCAGTTTTCTTTGACTTTGTTTTTGTTGTTTCTTTTTCATCTTGTTTTTGTTTGTGTTTATGGGTATTCATATTGGTTGTTTTTGCATTGTGTTCCATTTGTTTTTCCTTCTGTTTTTCTGTGTGTTTGTCTATTGTCATACATTTATCTTCAATTGATTTTCTAACTGTCTGTTTTTCTTTATTTTGTTCATTGTTTTTGTTTAACTCCTTTCCCTTTACTTCATGTGAGGTTTTCTTTTCACTGGTTTTATTTGTCATTGTTTGGTTTTTCTCAGTCAGTTTATGGTTTGGTTTATCTTCTTTGTTTCCTTGTTTATGGTTCTTGTTTATATTTGTTTGATCACTGTTTTTGTCCATTTTTGTTTTATTGTAGCATTTTTCTTTGGTTGTTTCTTTTTCCTTGTTTTCTTTTTCATTGTTCTTGTTTGTTTTAGTGTTACTTTCTTCACTCTTTTTGTCTGTTTCATGATTGTCTGTGTTCACTATGTCTTTGTGTTTGTTTTCAGTTATAATGTTCCTGTTTGATGTTGTTTGTTCATTTTCTTTGGTTTGCTTTGTGTTATTTTCTTCACTCTTTTTGTCAGTGTTTGCTTTATTGTAACTTTTATCTTCTTTTGGTTTTACTTGTTTGTTTTCATTTTCAGTGTTATTGTTTGTTTTCTCATGTTTGTTTTCATCTGTTTTCTGTTCTGTAGGTTCAATGATTTCAATTGGCTGCACTTCAATGTCAGTAAGTTCAATTTCATCATCCGATAATTTCAGGTCGTCAAAAAGTTTAGTAGAGGTTGATGTTTGATTAGACGTTGTTTTAGGTAGAGATTGTATTTTTGGAATTTTCCATGGTCTTGTTTCTTCATTTTGTAATTTTCTTTTTAGGACTATACTTTTTATGCCTTCTAGTTGAGGGGTTCTTTCTGGTATGAATTTACATTTGTGTGTTTTCCTGATACGGAAGTCCTTTTCAATTTCTGTACATTTGTACTTTGTAGCAGCATTTTCGGCTTCCCTTCCCTTCAATTTTGTTATTTTGTTGTAGGCCTCGAATCTAACTTTGTTCGCATCTTTACAAGTATGTGGTGCGTTCTCTCTACTAAATTGCTTGCCACAGCCTAAACATATGAAACAGGCTCCGAAATGGCGCTCTAGAATGTGTCGGATAATATTTGCTCTTCTTGGGTAATCTCGATCGCACAATCTGCATTCATATTTGATTTCCTGGAAGTAGAAAATACCTTGGTTTTAACTATTTGTATATGATTTTACATCTCATCTCAGAATAAACAGCATAATCAAAATTTTATAGTTGAAATAACAGGAAATTTCATCAAGACACAATGTTGAATTTTTATAATTTCAGGTTCTGGGTTTTTGTAGTTCCCTCCCCCAAGGATATATGGTATGGACATCAAGGTAGTGGAGTGGTTTTCCAGTAAGGTAAGGGTTGAACAACAATACAGCAAAACATCAAATATATATAAATGTATTTTCAACAAGATAAAGCATCGTTTACATTATGTTACATAATATACATTTATGTAGGTGTTGAAGATGTTGGAGTAAACCATGAAGGTTTATTTTCACCTTTGTAAGGTTTCAGCTTGTCATGATGAACAATTAAAGCTTTAGTTGTTGGTTTTAGTCTGATTTCATAAAGGACTTCTCCATATTTCTGTGTGATAATGTATGGTCCTATCCATGGATTTTGTAATTTTGGACTGAGATTTCTTTGTCTTCTAAGGTTGTAATACCACACTGCATCACCAATTAAGTAGGAGATGACATGTTTTCCTCGATCATAGATGTTTTTCATGTTGACTCCAGACTGTTTAAGATGTCGTCTAGCTATTTCATGTATTCGTTCTAAATTATTTTCAAGATGTGTGACATATTCTGTTGTAGACTTTGTGATTTCGTCTACAGGTTTCCCGAGTGCTAGGTCAATAGGTAAATTCATTTCTCTCCCGAACATCATTAGACTTGGTGTAAAGCCAGTGCTTTCATGAACACTTGTGTTGTAGGCCATGGATAAAAGATTTAGGTTTTCGTCCCAATTTCTCTGGTTTTTATCCACATATGCGGAGATCATATTCTCTAATGTACGGTTCGCGCGCTCAATCATTCCATCTGAGTTTGGACGTCCAACGGTTGATCTGGTCTTGTGTATTCCAAGAATTGAACACATTTCTTGAAAAACTTTTGATTCAAAATTTGACCCGCGGTCACTGAATAGTTCTAGGGGTACACCGAAGTTACTTATAAATTTGTCAACAATTTTCCTTGCTACATAGCTTGCTTCCATTGACTTTAATGGTATTGCCTGAATCCATTTGGTAAAATAATCGCCAATAACAAGTATATATTTATTTCCTTTCTTTGATGTTACATATGGTCCTTGGATGTCTACAGCAATTCTTTCTAAGGCTTGTCCTACTTGATATATTTGCATTGCACCTTTGGCTTTGCGGTTTGGTTGTTTTCGAGTACCACAGGTGTCACAAGATTTGCACCAATTTTCAACATCTCTTCTTTGAAAGCACCAATAAAATCTCTGTTGTATTTTCCCTAAAGTTTTCTTAATCCCAAGGTGACCTGAGGTAACAGTGCAATGCATTTCTTGGAATATTTGTCTTTGACATTTTTCTGGAACAATAATTACTTTTCGTATGGTGTTTTGTTCAGTTTGTATCTTCTGGTAAAGTATGTCATTCTCCACTGTTATAAGATAATAGTTTGACCAGTAATGTTTTAACACGGTGTTTTCACGAGAAATTTCTTGCCAAGTAGGTTTCACGTCATTTATTTTCCATTGTTTAATTTTCCCAAGTACTTCATCATTGTCTTGTTCAATACGTATACTTTCCATATTCGTGTAGAATAATTGGGTATTTGAAGTGTGGTTTACTTGGACATTATTTACATGTATTGATTCAGGTAGCTCTTGTTTTACTTCTGTTTCATATTTTGTTTCAGCACGTTCACAATGAGAACATAATATATTGGAACATGGACGTCTACTTAGAGAGTCACAGTTGTTGTGTATTCTTCCTGGGCGATATTCAATGGTGAAATCATAGTTACCTAGAACTTCTAACCATCTGGCTAACTGTCCTTCACAGTTCTTGAAGTTTAATAACCAAGTAAGTGATCCATGGTCTGTTCTAATGGTAAAATGATTGCCATATATGAAATGATGGAAATGTTTAACTGATTCTACAATTGCTAGTAATTCTTTGCGGGTAGTACAGTAATTTCTTTCTGATTTAGTGAGACATCTAGAGTAATAACCAATAACTCTCTCTTGATTATCTTGGGTCTGTTGGAGAACACTTCCAAGTCCTTTATTTGAACAATCACAATCAAGGGTATAGGGTATATTCTGAATAGGGTAAGCAAGTACAGGTGTGGAAGTAAGTAATTTCTTTAATTGTTGAAATGCTGCTTCACAGAGGTCATCCCATATAAAAGGTTGTTTGATCTCGGTTAATTGATGTAGTGGTTTTGCAATGGTGGCAAAATCAGGTACCATTTTGCGATAGTAGCTGCATAGTCCAATAAACTGTCTAACTTGTTTCACATTTTCAGGTCTAGGCCATTGAGATACACTTTTTATCTTTTCAGGACAAGCCTCAATTCCATTTTCACTGATTTTGTGGCCAAGGAAACTTACTGATCTCTGGAAGAAGCAACATTTGTCTGGACTCAGTTTCAGGTTAGCATCTCGAAGTCTTTCAAACATTTGTCGAAGATGTTCTATGTGTTCATCAAAAGTGGTGGAAAAGCATAAAAGGTCATCAAGATATACAAGGCAAATTTCATAAGTAAGTCCATGTAGTACATGCTCCATAAGTCGTTCAAATACAGCTGGGCTTGTGGCCATGCCGAAGGGCATAACTTTCCATTGGTATGTTTCACCACCTATGCTGAAACAGGTTTTTGGACGATCTTTCTTATTTAAGGAAACTTGATGATAGGCTTTCTTACAGTCCATGCTAGAAAAATATTTCTTGTTTGCTAATGACTCTAAAGATTGGTCAATTCTAGGTAAAGGATGTGAGTCAAATTTGACTTTGGCATTGACTTTTCGAAAATCAATACAAACTCGAACTGATTTATCAGGTTTAGGTACCATAATTACAGGTGACAGCCATGGGCTCTTTGCTGGTTCAATCAAGTCTTGTTTTAATAATTTCTGTATCTCTTCTTCTGCAACTTTCCTTTTTGCAGGAGGTAATCTATACGGTGGAGTTCGGACAGGAGGACTTTCTCCTGTATCTATAGTGTACTCTACTAGGTTTGTTCTACCAATGTCATCTTCAGATTTCGAAAAGATTGTTTGATATTCAGTCAGTAATTTCTTAAAACTTTGTTTCTGATCTTTGGTCATTTCATTAGAACATCTATTAAATACCTCTGTTAGGTGTGAAGGCAATTGGTCAGGGTGATATTTAAAGTCAGTTTCTTGTTGGGCTGTATTTACTTCTATATCTTCTGGAAGTTGAACTGGGTTTAAGATGGCTACTTTAGTATTTTTGCGTATCATTTCTGGCATGTGAGTAAAGTTTGCAAGTCTTAAAGGTATACAACCTTCTTCTGGTCTAACTAATGCTGTTGCCACTAAAATGTCATGGTTTTCTATGAAAGTAGAATTGGTCTCAACAATACCTATACAATTTGTTGAATAACTTGATAATAATCGACCTGATGTGATGATCTCAGTATCTGGGGGTATTTCAAGGTCTTCTGTTATGGTGATATAACAAGGAACATTTTGATTGGTTACGCTGTAATAATGAATTATTTCTCCATTTAGGTTCATAGTCTGGTCACTTAATCGAAGTTCACATTTTTGCGTCATTATAAAATCTCTTCCTAAGATTGCTTCTTGTTGGATATCTGCTACATATACTGGTACATCAAAATTTTGTTCTCCTATTTTAATGTTAACTATAGTTTTTCCATGAAAAGGTGCTTTGTCGCCAGTTATTCCGAGTAATTGGGCATTTACAGGTTTGATTCTTGGTTTGTCTTCTTTTGGCCAACTATCTATCATTTTCTTTTGTAATATAGTCACTTTAGATCCTGTATCTATTAACATCTTTGTAGGTTGATTTTGTATAAAAGTAGATAAGAAACATCCTTCTTGACTTGCTTGATCTGTAATTACATTTATTGTCTGTGGCCTCTGTTGTTCTGTCTTCCTGTGGGCCTCCAGAAAGACTGGTTCTCGTTTCCCGAAACATTAGTTGTTTGTCTGTTGTGTGAATAACTGTAAGGTGTAGGGTTTCTGTTAAATTGATTATCAGCGGGAGTATGTTGAAATTGATTTCTTCTACTCCGGTCTCTATTATTTGGCTGTCTTTGTTGTTCATTTCTTGGGAAAGAGGAGGGGAAGTTGTTCTGCTTTTGATTCTGTGTCATTCTTTGAAACTGCTGGGTTAAGTTTTGTAATGAGTCACAAATAGATTTCAGTTTATCCTGATTGTCTTGGAAAGGTTTAGTATCAGATTTTTCATTTCCAGTAGCAGCTACAGTTATTGATTGATGTCTTTGTTGGTCAGCTGTACGGAAAGTTTCTAGGCGTATGGCAGTTTGTTCAGCTTCAGATAAGGTCTTTACATTAGCTTCTCTTAATTTCATTCTCATCTCTGTAGTTTGCATTGCATCTATAAAACAGTCAACTGCAATTGTGTCTGTCCATTGTGGTGGGGCATCTGGATAAGCTTGATGGCTTAACTTCTTAATACTGCGGGCAAGTTCTGAAATTTCTTCACCATTTTTACGTACTCTTGTCCTTAATTGTGTTCTAAAGACTTCTACTTTATTTAGACATCCATATCTTTCAGTCAGCTTTTTGAAGAGAGTATCATAGTCCTTCTTTTCTTTACCATTTAATTCAGTCAAAAGTGATCTTGCATTGCCACTTAGACAACTTGCTAAGTATAGTCCGGTTGCATTGTAGTTCCACTGATTAATTTCACAGCAAATCTTGAATGAATCAATAAATTCATATAAATCTTCTTTTCCATCAAATTTTGGTGGTTTTATCTTCATATTCAGGTGATTTTCTGTGTAAGCTGTGTCCTTCTGCTGGTTTAAGAGGGGAAAATCAATTTCTGGATCAGGAGAAGTTTCTTGGTTAGTATAATTTGATGTGTGGTCACTCTTAGTTTGTTGTGGGTATTTACTCTTTTTCAGCTTCTCAATATCTTCTTCAAGACTTAATAGCCTTGTTTGTGTTTCTTGATTGTCATTGGACAGGGTCATTAGACTCTCTGTAATTTTTGTAGTCATTTCCTCTATTTTCTGTTCTAAGTTGTGGTGGGGGTAACTGGGGATTTGTTCATCTAAGGTTTTCTCATCTGAGTTTTCTATATCTTGGTATTCATCTACATCTGGTTCTGAGTCTTCTTCATTGTGATGATCTATGTCAACAATGACTTCAACAGGGTCAGTGTTAGAATCAGTCATAATTTCTGTCTGATGAAGAAAAGTAGAAATAACAATTGTTATTAGACACACACGCACATAATACGCATTCTAAAACTATTCATAGTTGATAAAAAAAAAATATTCTCATGTATATAAAATGATACATCCACATATTCATACATTTCACATATATACATAAAATGTTAAATATTTTGTTTTTCAGGCGATAGCAGGAGGGTCAACAGTACTGTAGATTCCGGATATGGTTGAATTGGTCAATATTTGATGTAGGTAGTCACATCTCTTGAGGTCTAAAGGATAGATGGAGCTCAATCCATCCCGTAGAGCTGAAGATAATCCAGTCAAGATTGTGGAGCTCATACATTCCTGGCTGGATGGTCAATTGTAATGTCCTTATTGTGTCATATGTTCATGGAAATAAATTGGTTTGACATCTCTTGTTGTTCTTTTTATATTGGCATAATATCCATCATAAAGGTTCTACTTGAATGGAGTATCTGGATACTGATGGAGACATCTGGAGAAATCTGGAGACATATGGGTTGATAGTTATTTAAAGTCATCTTGGATGGTAGTTTTCCTCAGTTTGTGGTTGTACATCTACAGTCACTGTTATCCGTACTTCTGACACCAGTTGTTACGTTTCCCGGACCGGGGAGAGCCTGCTAGTCCCCGGGTAACAATTTATACTTCTCAGGATGTAGGCCTATATAGCGGGTAGATCACTATAGCTTCACTTCTATAGGTATTTAATAGTCAGGGTATGTTGTATCAGGAGAAAGCCAGTAGTTAGTTTAACATCTCATTTATTCATCATCAACATCATTCATTCATGTATACACAGTCAACAGTAATATAAATAATACATGTAGTCAAAATGGGTACATATCCGGAAACCACTCCAGTTGGGTTTGTTTACCTTAGTTACATAGATAAATATTCTGTACAAGTTTATAAATACTTGGAATTTATACGTTCATTATAGTTATTTTAATAAGTGAAATATATTTATTAAATGATTCTGGGTACTACCTCTCCAGATGGATATTTTCTATAAGACATTGTGCATAGAGGTTGCGTCTGCAAAGCGGACAATACAATTGACAAAGTTCAAGGGAAAATCTGGGGTATTTATAGGAAAAGGTCACATGACCCTTGAAACAGTAACGTGACTTCATATAATGACGTCACTGAGTATCCAGATGGGTCATGTGATCTATTTGATGACGTCACATTGTCTCCATCTTAACTCGATTAAATACAGAACATATTCTACGTCTCCATCTGGAATTCTAATCAGTACCAACTAATAATGGATTAAACACAAGGCATGGCACATGTTTGATGAGTTATGTAGCATTAAATAAGTGATTACAAATGGGCAAACTGGCGTAAACATTAAGTATTATACATATGTTAATAAATCAGAATAAAGTTGATAACTGTCAACAAGTATTAACGTGGTTTCCGGGGTTATAAAAAGTGTCATGATGTTCGGACGAAATGAACTTCGTAACATTATATAGTGTCTTTAAAAAAACTGGCAGTTTTTTTAAGAATAGACTAACTTTACTTGACCCGTAATAGGGAATGCAGCTTCCTTTACATAGTTAAATCATTATTTTATTCAAATTAAACATTTCATGGATTTCAATACATTTCTAAGATAAAGATATTTTACGAAAAGATGAGCATAGTATATCTTTTTGCACATTTTGCCTCATAAGTAGAACCTTGTTATTCACGAGAATAGGCAAGCATATGTGTTAAGTAATGTTTCGATAATGGATTCAAGGCATATTAGAAGTTTTTCACCTGAGGAAGATATTTAACGCATAACTTTTTATTCTATTGTGAGTGTATTTAATATATTCTAGTGATGATTTTGATGTGCTGCTATAACGCCAGTTGGTTCCATTGACTGGAAAAAGGCGAGGCTATCAGATGAATGGAAAGTAGACAGTAGCAGAAAAGCAGTAGGAAAAGTGAAGCTTTAATTAAATTAGCAGTAGCACAGCAGTAACAGTAGCAAAATTATAAAACGTGAAATTGGCAGTAGCTGTAGCAAAGCAGTGGCAGTAGTTTTAGCAGTAGCACAGCAGTAGCAGTAGCAAAACAAGAAATGTCAAACGACACATATGCCAACCCCCCCCCTTTCTAGCCCTTGACTCACATTATTGGTAATTTTTTTATTGAAAATTGCCATGAATGGGTACATGGAAGTGTTCAGTTATGGAAAAAAGAAAAATAATGAAGACTTTGTTATAAACAGTTTTCAAGATAATGAGACATTTAAGGCCCCTGTGACCTTTGAACTAGTGACCAGAAATCAAAAGGGGTCATCTAATTGTTATGACCAATCAATATACGTAATATGAAGACTTTATGATAAATAGCTTTCAAGATAATGAGCGGAAAACATACTAACATTTAAGAACCCTGTGACCTTGACCTTAGACCTAGTGACCCCAAAATCAATAAGGGTCACTTTCTAGTTATGACCAATCAGTATGTAAAATATGAAGGCTTTTGTGATAGTTTTCAAGATAATAAGCACAAACCATTCTGACATTTAAGGCACCTGTGACATTGTCCTTTAATCTAGTGACCAAAAAAGCAATACAGATCATTTGTTGGTTATGACCAATCACTATGTGAAATATGAAGACTTTCTGATAAATATCTTTCAAGATGAGCTTGTGACCTTGACCTTTGACCTGGTGACCTAAAATCAACAGGGGTCATCTACTAGTTATGACCAATCAATACGTGAAGTATGTAGACTTTGTGATGAATACTTTTCAAGATAATCAGTGGAAACCATTCTGACATTTAAGGTCCCTGTGACCTTGACCTTTGACCTAGTGACCCAAAATCAATAGGGGTCATCTACTAGATATGACCAATCAATATGTGAAATGAAGACTTTGTGATGAATACTTTGCAAGATATTCAGCGGAAACCATTTTGACATTTAAGGCCCCTGTGACCTTGACCTTTGACCTAGTGACCCCATAATCAAGAGGGGTCATCTTCTAGTTATGACCAATCAATTTGTGAAATATGAAGACTTTGCAATGAATTGTAATCAAGATAATGAGCGGAAACCATTCTGATATTTGAGGCCCCTGCGACCTTGACCTTTGACCTAATTACCCCAAAATCAACAGGTGTCATCTACTAGTTATGAACAATTAATTTGTGAATATGAAGACTTTGTGATGAATACTTTGCAAGATAATCAGCGGAAACCATTTTGACATTTAAGGCCCCTGTGACCTTGACCTTTGACCTAGTGACCCCAAAATCAAGAGGGGTCATCTTCTAGTTATGACCAATCAATTTGTGAAATATGAAGACTTTGCAATGAATTGTAATCAAGATAATGAGCGGAAACCATTCTGATATTTGAGGCCCCTGCGACCTTGACCTTTGACCTTATAACCCCAAAATAAACAGGTGTCATCTATTAGTTATGAACAATCAATTTGTGAATATGAAAACTTTGTGATGAATACTTTGCAAGAAAATCAGCGGAAATCATTCTGTCAATTAAGGCCCCTGTGACATTGACCTTTGACCTAGTAACCCCAAAATCAATAGGGGTCATCTACTAGTTATGACCATTCAATTTGTGAAATATAGACTTTGTAATGAATACTTTTCAAGATAATCAGCGGAAACCATTTTGACATTTAAGGCCCCTTTGACCTTGACCTTTGACCTAGTGACCCCAACATCAATAGGGGTCATCTACTTGTTATGACCAATTAATATGTAAAATATGAATACTTTGTGATGAATATTTTGCAAGATAATCAGCGGAAACCATTTTGACATTAAAGGCCCCTGTGACCTTTACCTTTAATTTACTGACTCCAAAATCAATAGGGGTCATCTTCTAGTTATGACCAATCACTATGTGAAATATGAAGACTCTGTTATAAATAACTTTCAATAAAATCAGCGGAAACTATATGGTCTACCAACGGACAGACCGACGGACCGACAAACTGACATTAGCAAAACAATATAGCCCCTCTTCTTCGAAGGGGGGCATAATTATAAAACATGAAATTGGCAGTAGCAGACGCAGTAGCAAAAATATATAATGTGAAATTGGCAGAAGCAGTAGCTCAACGGTAGCAGTAGTTTTAGCAGGCAGCAGCAAAACAGAAGCACAGGAGTAGCAGTAGCACAGCAGTAGCATTTGCACAGCTGTAGCATTAGCACATCAGTAGCAATAGCATAGCAGTAGCAGTAGCACAGCAGTAGTAGTAGCACAGCAGTAGCACAGCAGTAGTAGTAGCACAGCAGTAGCAGTATGTCAACTGTGTCGTTTATCGAACTTTGTGGACATTTTTGTATTATTATGAGTAATAAATAGAGACGAAAAATTGTGTGCTTATTGTAGTGTCATCTTTACTGAAAGGTCCAGTCATTTTTAGCTTTACTTGCTTATAATTATAACATTGTCTTTTAATACCTTTAGATTTTCATATTTACTTTGATATTAAACATATATACTAAATCATTCCAAACATGTCCTCGCAGTTTGGTTTTACTTGCCGTGTCAGTGTCGCTATCACTGCCGCATGTATATGGCAACATTTCAGCGAAAAAAGTAAAAACATCGCAAAATGCAACAAAAACTAGGTAAATAAGGGACTAGATGGTCTCGGACCACATACCTTTTGCGTAAATATTCTGTTCTCCTATTGATCCGCGATCAAAAAATATTTACACCTAAATACTTTTGATACAGTGTAAAAAGCAATATATTTCCTCTTATGGTAATGATGCTTTTCACATTTTGGAGACAAAATATAAATCAAATATCTCGAAGGACCAGTAAAATATAAGACGGGTATCCCGGCACAATTTGCCTTCAAGATTGATACACCAATCCATCTCACAGTGCAGCCAGTACTTTTGCATAAAAATGCCCGGTTTTAAGGATATTTAAACCAATGGTCAAATTGCCAATAGGTCAAAGAGATGTAATACAGAAAACCAGAAGTAGATTAGAAAAGTAAGTAACAGAAGACAACTGTTGACGTAGGACTGCAGGCGCAAGGCAACATATGTCGGACATTACTCAGACAATCGGGGTCAGACAGTGACTTCATCTTTCTCTGCATTTGTTTTAAAGCATTTTAACACTTCCTTCCTCTAAACTTGGTTCGATTCAATTTCCATGTGAATTTTAAAACAAAATGTCTCATTTGCCATCAAGTCTTAAAAAGTAAAAGATTGCAAACTCAAAAACGTAGACACGTTTGCCTGGTATCTATTTAAGACAATCAAAACATTTAACCGTAATTTTTCGATGTCAATTGATTAAATATTGAATTAATCTAAAAATGGAATAAGGTCCAATGTTATTTAATTTCATTATGATACCATAATTATTTTCAAAAGTAGGTTTTGCGTCTTATCCATGCAATACGAGAAGAGGACGAGTTTCCGGCATTCCATCGTGTGTTTATGGAACCTGGACACAGTTAAATGGCGTAATTGTTTGTTTGTTTTTAGGTTTTACGTCACATCGACACAGTATAGGTCATATTGCGACGTTCCAGCTTTACTGGTGGAGGAAGACCTCAGGTGCCCTTCCGTGCATTATTTCAGGCACGAACGGGCACCTGAGTAGAACCACCGACGTTCCGTAAGCTAGCTGGATAGCTTCCTCACAAGAAAGAATCCAAAGTCCCTGTCGGGATTCGAACCCACAGCGGTGAGGGGCAAGTTGTTTGAAGTCAAAGGCCTTAACCACTCGGCCACGGACGCCCCTTTAAATGGCGGTAAGCATATGTCCTGGCTCAGACATAAAATTAAAGCTTGGACCTCTTTCGTATTGGTTAGACAATGAATTTCTGCAATCTTTACTTAAATTTGACTTAATGATCATTCACATCGTATCTTCCCACAATCCTTAGTGTTCATCCTACTATTTTAGGCGTTTTTTTTTCTTCAAAAGGTATATATATAAGAAACAAACTAAATCCTTTTTAAACAAGTACATTTATTTTATTTATACAAATACAATACAGCTACAGTAGGTATTATTTGACAATGTTGGCCAGTTTGTTGAATTCTTTTGTAAAATTACTAACTTCCGGTTGAATAAATTATGTTAATCAACGGAGCAATTGTCTTCGGAATATACCGGTCCATGCCGAATCATCATGGCAGCGCGAGTCTGATTTTAAATTGTTTTATATAATCTTTGCGCGGCGCGCATAAAATTTGCATAAAATTCGTCAATAAAGATATCTCGGGTCAGTATCACCAATATTGTCAAACTTTTACAATGCTTAAAAACATTCATAGGACAAAAAGATCAAAACCAACACAAATTCAGATATCAATACATAAAGGAAATGACGTAAAAACATTCATAAAATTCTAACTGAATACATGTATGTCTAATTTGAATAAAAGAATGAATAAACTATGTATGGGAAGCTGCTTTCCCTATTACAGGAAAAAAAGTTGGATCCTTTTTTAGA